TCTGAATGAAACATTTACCTTTTTTTACTCTACAGCCATCTCAAGGCTTGTTGATGACATGATTACTCTTTCTAATCTTGCTTGATATAATGCATGTGATAGTACCAACTTCTTCTCCTTTACACTAAAGTGAAATCAATAATCCAGTTGTAAGTTTTTTTTTTTTTTTAATTCAGGCAATGTGCATACCAGTCTTTCCCTTTCCTGGCAGGGTTTACTCAGTGAAAGTATTCTGAATGAAATATTAACAACAAATATCCAATTCTTATAAAATTATCTACCATAGTTAAAGGCAATAAGTTTTGTCTAAACTTATAAAATTTCATATACTTTTAAGATATATTTTGAAAGTATTAATTAAATCACATTTAATGAATGGAATCCATTTCCAAAAGTGACTTACATATTGTATATATATTTTCTTTTTAATTATTCATACATTATTATTCTGATATTTAATCTGTTTTTTATTTTATTAATATTGAGAACTTTTTCTGTATTATTTATATCAGTAGGTTTTTTCACTCTGAGAATTAACTGACATTATAAAGAGAATTGGATGTGGAAGTTGTGTAATTGTTAATGGCATAGAATGAGAAATTGTCTAGTCAAAAACATTACATTCACAAATACCTTTGGGGAAAAGTAATGAATCCATTTCTCTCTCTCCTTGCCAACTATGAGTTAAATAGCTGGGTAGACTGGGCTCTCTAGCCATGATTGGAAACCAGTTTAGGAGAAAAACAACTTTAAATTCAAAACTATGTAGTTCTTAAAAAAATGTTCTGGTGAAGCTAATACAATGCAGCCATTGAAAGGATTGTTTAGTTCACAGTGACTGATCTTGATTGCAGTCAGTGTGAATGGGATTAAAAAAATATAAGCTGAAAATAAAAATGTAATATTTGCTTCAGCATATTTCATATGATGAAGTCCTTTTAAAAATGCTTTTGAATGAATTTGCATTCTTATTTTGCTTTTTGCTATCCTAGAAACATGTCATTTTTATTTTATATTGCTTTTCAATAATATTTTACATAAAGAAACCAAATACCTTTCAACATCATGTGAAGTGCAGCACTCTGTCTTTATCTTCAGTGCTTATAACACTTTCTCTGTTTTTTGACTTGCATTATTCCTTGATCTAAGTCTATTTGCAGCATTTTATACTATATTTTCCCCTCCAGATATATATTTTTCTCTTTAATCATTCTCCATTTTGTGTTTGATATCTTTATTACTGCATTTTTTCTGTATATTTTATAAAGACCCATTAACTTCCAAGGTTGTGTTAAATAAGTATTGTAACTGACTGTAGCTTTTAAAGAAAAAAGCTCCACACTTCATATTGATGTTATCCTTTTATTTAGAAAAGACACTGTGAAAACTAGAAACAAATAACAATCTCACAAAAGGTAAATGGACAAATGAAATAACTTTTAAAGAAATACACAAAGAAAACACTTGTTTAAACAGAAACAATAACAGAGTTTGAAACAAATTCAACAAAGTGATAAAGAGACACAAGATGTCTTACAAGAGAATTTCAGACTTAGTAAGGAGTAGATATTTACAGTTTTCTATCATACACTAGCAGTAGGTAAAAGAAGAAAAATGTTTATTTTCCTTAACCTTAACAGTAACAAACTCACAGAAAATTATAGTTAAACATATATATATATATGTGTGTGTGTGTGTGTGTGTGTGAGTGAGTGTATGTATATATATATGTGTGTGTGTGTGTATATATATATATATATATATATATATATATATATATATATATATATATATGTATTGAGGTAGCAGATCATTATTTGAACATATATTGTTAAATATAACAGACAATGATCTAAGCTTTCTGCTCACATGAGCCATCTTCAGGTTGGTTATACAGATATTTAAACAAAAATATTCACCATCAAAGATGATATTCTGTTAAATTGACATAGAAGATTGCTATGCAACGATAATGGCCACAGAATAGCAGATGCAGGTCATAAGTTCATGATTCTGTTCTATGATGTCGTACCACGTGAGAGACTGAAATATTAACAACAGAACCATATGTCTAAATGCAATGTAATGTGTTGTGACTAGTTTGAAATGTAATTTTGTTGAGTGCAGGTTGCTTTGTTTCAATGTATATAGCCTCCAATATCTGAAGGTTGTTTTTACTGTGTGTATGTGTGGGTATTGTTATGTTATCAACTAATATTTTGTCTAATACTATGTACTATGTCTATTTTGTAGAGGATTTAGTTGTTTGGTTGTAGGGTTATGAGAGGCCATGAGGTCAATTGTTTTAAATTTTTTATAATGTATGATGATCTTGTTCATCATTATTAATGGATTAATGGATAACATTTCTACCAATTATATTTTTGATTGTTACATCATGTTTGTAATTATTATGCATTTGGTTACAATACTATAAGTTAATAGTATTATGTTTATTTTGACGTACAGTAATTATTATTATTATCAATTTTGTTAGTTTATTGAAATACGTTTTAATTTGTTGATCAATGATGGAATTAGGAAATCCATTATTAACAAGTGTTTGTTTAATGTTATGTAGTCCTTGATAGAATGTGGTTTTGGAAGAAGATATCATTTGTGTACGTTGGATTAAGTTTTTCACTTGTATTGTTGGGGCATTCAGTATTATAATTAAAAAGACACGATTTAATGCTAGTGGAATTTTTATATAGAGAAGTTGTAGATTTAAGTTGTGATTCTGGAATCAATAAATACATCAAGGAATTTTATTATTAATATTAAGTTCTAATGTAAATTTGAGGCCAGAGTGACTTTCAAATTTGTTTTTAAGTTGTGTAATTTGATTAATATTTTTAGCTAAAATGAAAATATCATCTATGTATCTTTTATATATAGGAAGTTTATTAATGTCACTAAGTATTTTATTTTCTAAATGTGCCATATAATAAATAGAAAAAAAAACCTAGTTAATATTTATACACAAATAGTATTGGGATCCCCACCCTTTTGCTAATTATTATATGGCACATTTAGAAAATAAAATATTTAGATATTTTCGTTATCTAATGTTGTTCTAGGGGGTTTTATCTGTAAAAAAAAAATAATTGAAAAATAACGTGAGTGCCTTTTATAGGAAAATATGTCATTAAAAACACAATTAATGAAGATATATTACTAACAATACTGATGGTCATTACTTAGTAGCAGTATGCTAGTAGCAGTAATTGTCTTAAAATTATGAAGATAATTTTTAATGTTCAATAAAATGAAAAATAGACATTTATTCCTTATATATGTTTGTGTATGTATGTATCTTCACAAAATTGCTGAAAAAAGAGCATACGATGATATTTTTTTATTAAAAAATGCCCCAGACTTGATAAAAAATAGGTTTTTTCATCAAAATTTTTGTTATTATTAAGAAGAAAGACCAAAGTTTTTTTTTATTATTGAATTATATTTTTAATCCTTTTTAGAAAATTTGAAATTTTGATTAAAAATCTTGTTTTTCTTGTGTCAGCAGGAGGAGCAAAGATTAATATAGGAAATTTTAATGTCTTTTTGCAATGAAAAATAGATTGATTTGGAAATTCTTGCAAAATCAAATAACTATTGAATTTTAATGAAACTTTCAGGACTTCTTCACAAATGAATGAAATTATTTTAGAAGTATTTTATTTATTTTCTTTTTTAGAAAATCATAGTAAAAATATTTTTTTTTTACGTGTTACACCCCACTTAATTTTATGAAAAATTGAGAAATTCAATGAGATAATTTTTAGTGACTATATTAGTTAAAAGCAGAACTCTTTTTTTTTTGTAAAATAGGACCCCATCTTACTGAAAATCTGCTCTGAATCGTAAAATAGAAAATGCAATGAAACTATGACATTAATTAGCAAAGATTTTAATTGCTCTTATGAAGAAGATATATTAAGGACAGTATTGTCTTGAGAAAAAAAATTTTTCCATGAATAATGAATTTTTACAAGACATCTTTTCATTCTTTATTAAATAGAATAATTTTTTTAATTAGAATAATTTATAAATTTTTAAATCTTAAAATTCAATTTTGATGGTGTAACGGTTAATGAATAGTGTTATTAAGTAAAACTATACTTACTAATCATAAATCAAAAAGCTTATTACAATCTGGAGTATCCCAGTATTTTAAAAAGAATTTTGAATTGTTTTTGTAGATATGGATGTCCATACACAACATTATCAGAAAATAGGAGTGGTAACATTTTAAATTACACCAAATAATTGAGTCTGTAATTGTAATTTGAAAACTTTTGTTTTGAAAACTTTAGTTAATAGGCCAAATTATTTATTAAATTCGCTTGTATATCTGTTATTTGGCATTATTTATACATTTAATGTTTGAGGTCAAAAGTTGTTATAGAATATAATGAATAAAATAATTTTACAAGTTTTGCATTTATTAGAATAGTAAGAGGAATTATTGTTACTATTTTGGTGAATTTTTTTCTGTTTGTGTTTATGATTTGCTTAACATTTGGAGGCACATTTTCAGTTTATTGTTCTTCCATTCAATATTTGGAAATGGGTTGTCAGTATGTCTGTGTAGATTCAAAATGATTATTTAATGTAGCCTTTCTTTTCATCTGTCTTTGGTAAAACAGATTTTAAAGCTTGTTAATATCTACTTTGTTTTTCTTGAAAACAAAATCAAAAAAATCCTGTAACATTCTAATATGATGACCAAATGCATAAGACAAATAATAAATTCAAATTCTGTCTTGTATTTTCCAAATATCATGTGTTATTTATGGCTTACCTGTTTAAACTTGGTAAATATTACTGTGGGTATTTTGAAGTAAATTATCCTTGTTATTTAACTCTGTATTTATTTAAAACTTCAATACCTTTTTTTTCTTTAAGATGAAATTTTAATTCATAAAAAAAAATGAATATCTAACCATGAAGAAATTTGTTGAATGATAACAGACACTTATTTTCTTTTATTTTTTCAGAACTGCAAGTAAATGGACAGTCTCCATCATTGTCCCATAAAACTCTTGACATCAGTTTTGATGATAGTGTGAGCAGAACTGGAAGCACAGTGGGATTGGTTCTTGAGAAAAACCCAAGAAAGCAGCAAATATTGACCAGTCACTCAAATGATCAGCCTCAAGAAAGAGGTGCAGGCAGCAGAGATAGACAGACTACCGTCAACGTAGATAGGCTGCAGCCTTATCATATCGATGTCTGAGGTGTAACTCACTGTCAACCAGTGAATCTCTGATAGTCCTATGTTTTAATGCTACCTTACAAAAATAAGATAAAATAAAGTGTAAAATGTTCTGAACCTAAATTTTAGCAAAATGTTTATGTTCCTGAAAAGTTAATACAGTCTTAACTTCAGACATTCAATGTATCTTTGCAAATTAAATGTTAATATTTTCTACATCATATTATGATGGTGATAAAGAAAATATTATTTAAAAATTAAGAAGTAACAAAACAAAAATGGTTCCTCATCTTACCAAAATTATCAATATTTATACCCGTTGTTATATTAATATAAAAATAAAGTGGAAACTTGAGAGATGCAATTAAAAGATTATTGAATTTATTTCAATTTAATACCAACAGTAAAAGGTAGCATGTAAAACAAGTGTTCTTTACCAAATCTATATTCCTCACTTGCTTAGAATATTTGTTTAAGAAAGCTATTATTGCATAATATTACAAATTTCATCTATAATATTTTTTATCAGTTAAAAGCCGAAACATTTTTGGAAATTAAAAATATGGTTGGCATTTCAAGAGTTTTAATGATGAATGCCTAAAGAAAGGTTTTCTTATCAGTGAACATTAAAATTCAGGAAAAAGTAGTCTGCATGTTGACTGAGCAAAGCTTTAGTCAACTATTTTTAGTGCTTGATTAGATGTCCCGACCTCATCATTGGCTGTGACTTCACATCTATTTAGTAATAATTTCTTTTTAGTTCCATATTTCATGATCAATTTTCTAAATTATATTTACCCTTATTACAAAAACTGGGAGAAGAAATCTTAAAATGCTCAAGCCTCTGTATTTGGTGTTATGTAAACTTTGGTGCTTTTTTAAATTCTTTTATATCCTCATTAATGAGTTCCTTATTCAATCCTGTTAAAGTGACTGTATAAAAAAGTTGGTACTTACAACAGTTGTTTGCCATTACTTCCTGTAAGAAAGCATGTAACATTAATGTAATTCTTACTGAGCTATTTATCTCTTGACAGATTCAAAGCATTTTAGGATAGAGCAGTGGAAGTCATAAGAGATCAATATTTCTAGCAGCAGGTAGGTGAGGCATAAGCAATCATGAGGTCTGAGTATGTAGCAAAATACTGTAAATGCCTGGTGGGTTTCATATAAAGATCTTTCAAGAAAATGAAAAACCACTGCAAGAAGCAAAAGAATTTGAGGTTTACAGCCATCTATATTGTTGAACATCCCATCATTTTTTTTTGAAAGAGGAAAAGTTAACCAACTTGAATCTTCTGAATAATGCTCCCTATTTGTTTCTGTTAAAAAAATTGTTACGTAGAGAATTGTATTTTTTCTTTATGTTAATGGAAAAATAATTGATAAAAGCAATTTCTATGCTTTTAAAAAAATGTTATTGTGTTTTATTTAGTTTGATTGTATTTTGACTTCATATCATTTCCATCATGATAATAGCAATAATGCCTTTAAATCAAAATCATTGTCAAGAAGAGAGAGAAATTTAAAGGATCTATTTTCAAGTTGACTTTGTCATTATATGTTATTAGTTTCTGTCTTTTGCAGCTTTTATATGACTTGCATTTGTTTTCTATTTTTCAATATATTTAGTTCATAAAAATGATTGACATGATAGAAAATTTCAAGCCAAGTTTACAGAATTGTTGACAGTCTAAACAGTCTGTAAAAAAATGTAATTTAAAGACTACAACCTACAAAAAGCCAGAACTTTTTTGATTAATTCATTCTAATTTCTATATAAACATTTTAATACTCCTTATATTTAATGATTAGTATTCTTGTAAGTAGGACATTTAGAAAACAGAATATGACATTGCAAGAGAAAAGAGTTTCATATAAAATTCTCAAAAAAGTAAAAAATATGAATGTGCATTTTATGCTTTTAAAAATTATTTTCCTTCCATAAAAATTTGTTGAAGAAAATTGCATATTGTAAAGGATGTTTTGTTTTTTGTATGCAAAAAATATTAATTCAGCATTTTTTTTAATTCACTCTTCTATTTTTACATAATGCAATAAAGAAAATTGTCTGAAATTGACAGTGTTTTTGTTGGATTATTTGAAAACTTTGCTTTTTGTTGATAGAAATAAAAACCTGGTTTTATCTCTGAATATTGTAATAGGCTTTTTTAGGCTCTCTTACAATTATATTACATATGTTTAAAATATTTATCATAAACTGACATAGAAAGAATTTGCATCTGATAATTTGATTTGCAGATGCTTAAAAAGGCAAAAATATTGAACAATACTATGATAATTTACATTATTTTTATTGTTTGGACTGTTGTCCTCATTGTTATTGTCATGTTCACAATGTTTTGGCCTTATTCAGGTGATACTTTTTTGAAAACTTTGTAACAACAAAGATGAAAACAACAGTCTGAACAATGTAAATAGTGTAAATAGTGTTAAAATACCTCATCTCAGAAATATAGACAAATACTATGTTGCTTGAAACTTTCCAAATCCTGGTAGAAAAATAGAAATTGAAAGTAAAGTTGACTTTTCAGATTTAAGAAAAAACATACAAAATGAAATTCAAATGGCTGTTTTTGTTTTGGATTGTGTCATTAGAATGATTGAACAAATATTGACTAATTGGCGAAATTGCTGGATTCATGTTGCTCTACTCTGTGGTTATGTGAATCCCTGTTAATGAGTAAAATCTCCTCTTGCATAATTGGAATACAAAGTAAATCTAGTAAAACTTTATCTTTCTTATATTTTTGTTTTTGTTTTTGTTTTTCTTTGTTGAATTATTTTTTGTAGATAAAACAGCTTGGAAAGATTTCAGCTATTTTTTTGAAAATTAGATTTAATAACTTTTAAAAAAATTATACAAATTTCTTAAGTAACTGACCCTACTGCATATACTGGGGTGGGATTCTGAAATATTTTCAGTTAGAAAAAGAAAAGCCTGATGTTTGAGGATTTGGTTAGATTTTTGGAAATCCAGTGGACTAAAAAATATTCAGCATTTTTTCATATATTTATGTTTGCAAAGTTTAATACTTGTTAATATAACAATGTTTTTATTTCAAATCAAGACAAACATTTCTGATGTTTCTTCTATAGAAAGTAAAATGTATCATTTATAAAGCATGAAATTTAGTTGAGCTAAGTACATATGTCTTTGAAAACAATAAAAACAAAACCACTAAACATTGATTATTAAAGATTTAATTTATTAAGTTCTGCTTTCATCAGGGAGATCACAAACCATCTTAGGTTTCTGCTTCATTTAACAGGTTTACTTGAGCTGAAGTGACTTGATCAAAATCGATGAAATTTTCTGTGTTCATAATCTGAATAGAATGATTGAGATTGGAAAGTAAAAGCTTTTAAAGTATCTTTACTGTACATTTGTCTTGGGGATTTCACTCTCCAATTTTCTTCTTGGATCTTGCTGCTGACCTATAAAAAAATATTTACAATGCAGAATTCATGAAATATTCAAGGAAAAAACATACAAAATAAGCATTGTTGAATCATTTTGGAACTACATTTTTAATGCATATAAAAATGATTTGTGAAAATTACAAATGATCATATAAATAAAATGAAATATTCAATGATTAATATTATACAGGTTTTGAGGCTTGTTCAGGCACAGTATATTGTAGAGAAGTTTGATACTAAAATTGACTTCTAAATTCAATGTCCCAAGTGTTTAGTTGTAGATAGTACTTGAAAAAAAATCACTAATAGGATTATGTGAGGTTGTGCATATATAGATGGCATGTCTCTTCTGAATGCATAAAAAACTCTCAATTGGAAAAATGGTATGCACTTTAATAAAACAAGTGATTGACAGAAACAGTGTTAATAGACATGAAACTTGTGATATAATATTTCTTCTCTAACAAGAAATACAATAGACTCTGATTGAATGGAATATTAATTAAAGAAATAGCCACTTGGTAGGACCAACTGTGTAAAAACAGAATCAAACATATGTAATATTTTGTTCTTTTTATGCAAACCTGTCGAAAAGAATAACTGCTTATGTTAGGGGCCAGAATTTGTGGTCCTTGTGTTTAAGTGGAATTCATTTTATGTTGATATGTTTTTATTTATAGCCTATGGTGTTCTATCAACAAACAATGCATCCACACAAAAATGATAATGCTTGAAAAAAATGTCCAGCTCTATGTGGTGATTTAACAGTTGTGTGAAATTTGGTATGCTTTAGACCACTTGGCCCCAGAGATTTTGAACGGTTACTGATGGAATGGAAAATGACCATACTGTTCCCCAAATATTGTTTCGCCGGAGTGTTCAGATAAAAATGAATGCTTCAAATGGAATATCAATCATGTCCTAAATATAGCAATGGCTGGCACCTAAACTTGTGCCTTGAAGATTAATTTTGTGACTAAATTATACCAGTTCACTCCCAGTGGATGCTCTTTAGAACAAGACTCAAACTCAAGACAAAATTAATGTTTGTATATTCTTTAAGTTTATCTTAACATTTTGGTTTAAATAGTCATACAACAAAAGGAAAATTGTCATTATAAACCAATGCAAAGATGCATTCTTTGCTAAGTGACCAACAGATCAATTTGTTTTTCCTTTTGGTTTGATTGTTATTACTTTTGCTAAAATAATAGTCACTAATGACTCAATGATTTGAAAGTTCTTAGTTACAAGATTAATATCCTTTCATTTCTGAATGAGATTTGCATGTAATTGCCTTAATGTCATTTCCCGTGAACCCCTGGCCCCCTAGTGAGACAAGATACAAACAATTTTGTTTTTTCATACATAGAGCAACAAAAGATCAATAGTAACTACTCTTTCATAAAATTAATAGACTAAACTAAATGAGTTTATTGTGTTTTGTTTTTTTTTAAATGAATGTTTTTTCAATCTTTTTTTTTTTTTTTTTTTTTTTTTAGCTTTAAGGTCTACAGATATCGGAACAAAAATATATTAACTCCAATAGGTTCACTAATCAATCTTAAGTCACTTGC